GAAACTCATTTTGTGATAACTATAGATTGGACCAAATGGTGACTGACTTCTTTCTTTTAGGTCAATTGAGCAATCATATGCATAATGTTTCAAGAGAATATCTACATTTTTTTATCAAAAATATCTTAGAAATCTTAATATTAACTTGGAATGTCATTTGAAGTCTTTCCATTATTAAAAATAGGTGTGTCATAAATAACAAAAGGCAATCTTTCTTTTGTATCATACAAGAAAGTTTTTGTACCTATAAGTATGGATTTGGCTACACTAGATTCATGGCTTTTTATAAAACTATTAATAGTACTTTAAAAAAAGTTAAGTTTATAAGAAATCTAATCTATCAAAGGATTATACTTTTCTAAACACAATAAATCTAAAATGATTGGATTAAAAAGAGACCTAATTATATTAAAAATTATACAACTATTATGACTATTTATTGTTATATCTATAAGAAGTGTTTCATGAGCAATATCTCTAGAAGATAATAGACGGCCATCTATGACTTCTACATGTACAGATTTAATTTTTTGTATTAACGATATTCTATGACTTTTAATAAACTCTTCATCTAAGAAACTAGCTAAAACTCTTGAATCTATCAAGGCAGAGGCTTTTTGATTATTAGGTCCTAAATGCATATCTATTGTAAAATAAGGAGAAGATAGGACCTTCATTTGTATAAGATTCTAGCCACACAATGCCTATTGTAGCAAGATAAATTTGTTTTTCAAAATTTTCTCATCTTTGACAATTGTACTCTTCATTTTATAGTAGCATCATTTCTTTGAACAATGTTGAGCAATGTGTTTAACTTTTCCACAATATAAATACAATCCTTCTTGACAACAGCAAGTCTTTTCTTGTTCAATAGCATATACTCTTAATGAAGAAAAGACAAAGCTCTAATATTGTAAGAGTACTCTTGTCAATCTATTAAGGATACAAACTCAAAAAAGATGTATAAACTTGAAAAATTTGTGTCAAAAGAAAAGTGATAAAATAGAAATAAAATAATATTTATATTAAAAAAAATTAGAATAGTTATTTCCAAAAGACAAAAAAAGTAGAGATTATTGAATCTAGACTAGAAACAAGAAAAGAATTGATAAGAGTGAAGAAGGCTTCATTCTTGCCTCTATATATACTATCTACCTAGGATCTATATGGCGACGTTCTATAGGACTTCTAAAAACACATTGACTTTGTATAACACATATCTTCACTTGTAAGACAAGTTTTCTATATAGCCGCCAGATAGTTAATTTGTTCCGCAAGCTATCAACATATGTGGTACATGGATAGCTTGTTGATCAAGTTTTTAACCTATCAATCAACTACAAACATATGTAAAGTCAAAACAATATCTATGAGACTTTTTTAGAAGGTATAATGAAATTAATCTACTTTCACTTAATTCTACTTACTTAGGTAACAATTACAAGAGATATATATTCGTGACACCAAAGCTATAAGCTTTTAACTATGAATCAATAATTTTGAAGAAGTTAATACCGTCTTTTGGTTTATATTCTTTGACAATTATGTTGACTTTTAATTTTTAGATATTCTTATTATATCTTAATTTTTCTTTGAAGATCTATCTTATTAATATTAAAAAATATTTTTGATAAATCCACTAGTCTTTATATTTTATTTTTACAATTTGATTCTATGTCATATTTGATGGCTTCTTGCCATCCAATCTATTGAATTGCCTCTTCATAGTTTCTAGGTTCTATGTTATATTCTACTATAAACATATAATTATATTTATATTTTTTATTGGATTTTTTATTTTTGATAGGATGTTTTTTTTTAATTAATTGATTCTATATATGATTGGAGTGTGCAAGTAGATGTATCCTTTAGAGAAAGAGAGAGTGAATTGCTGATTAATGTGGATAGAGGAGTATTTGAGCTATTATCATCTCTATAATCATTATTCTCAAGGGTTGAGATTTAATCAATCATTAATCAATGATTATTTTCAAGTGAATCCTCAAGTAATTTTTCTATCTCTAGAAACAACTTAGGTTTATTTATAGGAGTTAAGAAGTTCTTGATGTAGTCAAAATTTATGAATATTTTATCAAATATAATATTACAATTGATGCATATTTTGCAATAGAAGGAATAAAAAAAATTGTAAACTTTTATATGATTGTCATATTTTATAAATATATATTTAATGGATTTTATCTCAAATTTTGATTGATTTTTTTTATGATGTATAGATAAGCTATTGAACCAAAGACTCAAAGGTGGTTTATATGTGGTTAAACTTTGTAGTATAGTTATTTTGGAATTATATCATAATTAGCTATAATAGAATTTAGATTCATTAAATAATTAATTATATAGATAGCCACAATTTTAAAATATCCAATTAATTGCTAAATAATTAATATTGAGAATGATTTTTTAATTAATATTTGGTTTTGATATTCACTAATCATATTTTATTGCAAGATACAAGCTATGGTGAATTATCTATCTATTCCATGATTAATCAAGTTATTGAATTCATATATCAAGTATTCTTCTCTTCTATCAGTTCTCATGTTGCTTATTTGTCTTCCCATTTTTCTTTCTATTTATAATCTAAATTTTTAATTTTTTTAATATTTTATTTTGATAAATTTATTTTTTGCAAGAATAATCATTTATAAAGACAACAAAGTTTCTCAATTCTTATAAGAAAGGTGTTTTTATGGATCCAATTAAATTAGAATAGACAAGTTGAAGTATATTTTTAGCACAATATAGTGAAGCCTTTAGAAATTACTCCTAATGTTGTCCTTCCATTAAGCAATCTTTATAGGTCTCTCAAATGGTATTAAATAGCAACACTTATTTTACTTGATTACCTTACAATAAATGTTGTAATCTAACATATTGTAAGTGTTTATATCTTTTGTACTATAATCTTGTATTTTTCTCTATTATAATCAAGTTAGCTTTAGGATCAGTTGTTTTATTGTGAAATTAACAAAGTTTGTTTTATGATTTCTACTACTTGTTATTTTATTTTTATATTAGATTTATTATCTAATATCAAGTTTTAAAATAAAATAATAAATAAATAAATAAAAACAATTACTTTATCATTGTCTATCAATGATCTTATCAATATCAAGTTGCAAGTGAACATCGACACATAAAATTATTATACAAGTTCACTGCTCTATAATATGAAATTACATTGATAGATTCAACAATTTCAATCATGCACAACTTACCATTTGCTGTTCTTACTAATTTATTTGAGATTTATCTATCTATCATTTGAAGATTTTACATTTTTCTTATGAAGTAATTAGTAGCTTGTGAATCAACTTATTAGTTTTTGTTTTAATAATCAATAAAATTTGTTTCAACAATCTTGTCACCATATCCTTTATAAGTCTTTCCTTCCACATAGTTGATGTTAGTATTTTGATATTAGTTTTGTGAGCACTTGCAAGCAATATGATTTGGTATTTTATACATATAGCAAAAATATGGTCTAATATTTTAATGTTGTGGAGATCTACATGGTATAGTAAAACCATTGCAAGTAAGACACTTATAAACCTTTAGCTGATTCTTTATATCCATGGCTTTTGTAAGATAAGTATTAATATCTCCCCTTTCTTTTATTGATATTCCATTCAACTTATTTGTCAATAGTATTATTTGTTGTTGGTCTCTTACATTGAATATCTTTCTAAACATGTCCAATGTATATATTGGATGATTATGTTGTAAAACTATTCCAATCAAATTATTTGTTACTAATATAATAAGTTACCTTCTACTACTTGTATCTCAGTGTAGAATCTCTCAACTCTGGATACTCAAAATGAAATTATTGACATCTTTGTTTCTATAATATCCTACTTGTTCTCTTATTTCAAGATTGCGGACATCTTAAGCTTCCAAAAATAATAGTTTAGAGCTCTTGATTACTTATTCAACTCTCCTATCTCACAATTCAAGGATTTCTCTCTAGTTTCTGCTATCTCTCTAAAGTTTACCCCTTTATGAAGTATTAAGACAAAGATTACATACAAGTTGAAGTTTACCCACCACATAAAACTGCACTAGCATAATTTTCCTTCTTTTCACCTAACCCTAATACCAAAGGGATGGGATGTTTGGTGGATGAACCAGGGCGCTGGTTGGGTATCACCAACACTACTAGAGCCACTATCTTTTACATGTTCCAAGAGGAAGGCTCCCATTGAAGGAAGGAAACTAAATTTGCTGCAGACAGATAGGGCTAGAACAATCAGGAGGCCCAACTTCACAATCGCCATGAACGAATCCCAGGTTTACAGAGACTTTTCCTTTGTCGATTAATTCTTCACAGTGCAGTTTCAAAAATGTTCTTTACAAACTCCCTGGCATATTCCCTCATCTGATTCGTGTTGTTCATATCAGCAGAAACTGCCACGAACTCTTGTGAAGAAACCGGAGCTGCTTTCAAACGGTGGCGCAGTCTTTCACCACATTACATTGACAAGCATTAACTCTTCTCGACGATTATGAGAGATGTAATGATGCAAGCAGCATGAGCACTTTCTGCAGTTTATTCATTACACCTTGCTTCTTGACTAACTCGCGTTTCGTCACAGAACTGCACTGAGTTTCTGCAAGACATAAAGTTGAACACTTTTGAAGATCATAGATCACCATTGCAGCCTTCACAAACTCGATGGCGTATGAACTTACAGCCTAGGGTTGCCAATAGTGTTTGGCCCTTCCAACTGAGTGTAACATCATCTGCTGTTGTTTAAATTAACATCTTCTGGCGTTGGAAATAACTGTAGCATTTCATAGAAATGCCACAATTTTGAGACGTACAATTTCTCTTGATCATACATTATGCATGTATCTGCAATTTAGCTTGCAGCAGGCGAGGAGACACCTCCAAGGACAGGAATCAACAATTCGTGCCAAACATTTATACATAACAGTTCATCACATCTTGTGCGTCAGTATACCAAAGAAAAGTGTACAAGAGGACCAACAATGGAGAAAAAGCTATACAAATGGGAGGTACAACTAGCACAGTGTCAATTTCCACCTGCAACTATCAATTGATTATCAAAAAAGCTGAGATTATAGCATAACAATTTTAAGTTCAAGAACACTGTCACTAGCTCTATGATACACTTTTGAGTAGCTACATTGGCATCGTAAGTGTGCTCGGTCGACAAAACTTACTCCATCCATTAAAATTTCCTCCACACTCACCGCTGTAAATACTCAAAACCAATGGCGTAAATGAAAAACCTCCCATTGACAATGCCTTACGCTTTAATGTTTTTCATAAGATCCTCTTATATCTTTACAGCACGATCTTCGTCAAAATTAGTTTAAAAACTGGAGAGACCCGCTCATGTAGTGCGTTCAGATATATGTTGTGTTTTTGGTGCTCCTAGCCTCTCCTGTTCTTTGCTCAGATCATCGTCGTCTGAACCGCCGCTTCCGTCTGATTCATCTTTGATGTCGTTTGAGTGATTGGTGTCTGCAGCTTGGGAGGCAGATTGAGTTCCATCGTGACCCTCTGCAGACGATGGACCGAGCCTAGATTTCTTCAGCTTTTTCTTTTCTTTTTTCTTTTGGCGAAGCGCCCGCTTCTTCGCAGTTCGCTCCTCGGCAGCACGTAAACGTTCTTCTCGCCGCAAAAGAAACTCTCGCTCCGCAGTTCTCTTCTGATAATCAACTTCCATACGCGCTAGGCGATCTTGCTCCCTCCTCCGCATTTGTCGGTACTGGACATATCAACACAACAACAGTTTCTTAGGTGCTTTATTTTCTTGGAAATAAAAACCATGCATGTGGCTATTTCCTATGCACTACCAGAGCAACCTTCTCCCAGATTCTTATTTGATTTCATTAATGTATTTGATTCTATCAGTTTAAAATTTAAAAATTGTAATTTCTTTTATGTAAATTACTTATTAATATCCTGTCGACCCATTCTGCGTATGTTTCACTTCATGCAATAACCTGCAGCACATTACTCAAAGCATTCATTCATCCCACGTTTCTTTTCTGTGCATTGATAAGAAAACCCTAAAACCTGTTCAATACACCTCCAAAGGCAACTGTACAAGGATTAAAGTTAAATCATACCTGATGAAAATCGCCAGACCCAGATCCAGCAGAACTCCCGGAGGTATTACTAATGCGAACCGGCACTTGCTCACTGATCCGCCGCAGCTTGACCTCCAAATCCTCATCATCAAGGGGCTTAATTGTCTCTTCCCCCGCTTTGTACTCAACAATTGCCTTGCTTCCACCCTCAGCTCTTGGTACCGCTATCAACGCTCCTAACCCACTTCCTGTCCCTTCCCCTCTACTTCCTGGCTCCGGTAGCGCCACAATCTGCGTGTTCCCATCTGTGTAAGTCTGTGACGTCGTGTACCTTGGCATCGCCTCCAAAACCTCGGTATCTCTTCACCGCAGACCTCAGAATACTTCAAAGGAAGCCTTCAAAATGATCTGAGCTCCACTAAGTTGACTGGCACACAACCACTGCTACCTAACAACCATGAACACGAAAATCCCACAAACCACATCACGAAGCAATCAATGTCTCCGTTACAAAACAATGCAAATCTCACCATCGGAGCGATGTGAGTGCACCAGTCCAGTTTGCCTTCACTGATGATACCCAGTAACAGGTTCTCCACTGGTTTAATACCCGTGTTAGTGCTTCGCAGGGAAAGGGTATTAACCAGCTCTCCTGAGTATCCGGATATCAGCCCGTTACCAATCGCCTTCGTGTTTTGGCTGTTTACATTGGAGGAGCGCGAGGGAGGAAATTGGAATGTTCACTCTCTGTTTGCACTTCAGTCAACATGTTGCAAAAAGATTGTCCAAGGTTTACAATTGGCTTCAAAACAGCACAAAAAAACACACAAAAAAATAAAAATAAAAACAGAAAAAATTTAAGTGATTTAAGTCATTCATATATATATATATATATATGTAATGTATGTGTGTGTGTGTGTGTGTGTTTGTTTGTGTGTTTGTGAGTGTGACAATTTTTTTAAAATTGGAAAATGGTAATAGTGGTTCTGCATGTCTGGCAATGGTAAGGCTTCTTGTTAAAATAAATTATAAAACGATATCTACAACTTCTACAAATTAGTACATATATTCTAGAATATCAAAAATATGTATTTGTATTTTAAATATTTGATTGGATTTTTAAATATATGAACACACATACAATAAAAATACCTCTATTTAGTCTTTCTAAATATCCATATATCTTTATGAATTTTTCTTAAAGATTGATTATGAAAAGGTGTCTAAAATCTCATATCCTTAAAATATTTGTATGTAAATGTATAACATTTTAAAATAACATACCAATATACTAGTTTATAATGTGATTTTTGCAAACTACTAGACTTGTCCAAAAACATACTTTGATATACACAAGCTTATTACAATATATCACATGTTAAAAAATTAAAGATGTTCTGCTTATATTCTTTATTTCCAAAAATTTATAATTTTCTTCTAAGTATTGTCATAGCAATATATCATCTAGTATTTCATATTTGCATAAAACTATGTCTTCAAATATCAAAATAATTCATATTAAAAAATAATTTAATCATGTAAGATGCTAAAATTTGTCATTATATTTTAAAATATATATATATATATATATATATATATATATATATATAAAAACAAAAAAACAAAAAAACAAAATCTTTGTTATTCTATCCAAAGTGTATAAATTTTCTGCATATAGCACTTATAACACTACTACTGCATGCTAAGCTAACCGTAGTACTTAAAATAATATGTATTTACCATCTTTTCTAAGATGGTAAGATAATGGTACATAAAAATAATATTGAATAGGAGTTTGAAGTTAATAAAATTATTGCACATAATTTTATTAACATAAAAATTGCTAACAAAAATGACAAACTAAAAATCACTTTAGCATGAAATATTATCATTTTTGCCATATCAAGAATATTGATGATTTTTTAAACATTCATCTTTAAAAGTACATCATACTTAGTTTCCTAATAAGAATTTAAAAAAACATCATAATGTTTTTTGAAAAAGTCATGAGTTGGATGAAACTTAAGTCTTTAATAAATAGACCAAAAATTTAAATGGTTAATTAATAATATAGATATTTCATAATCAAGAATTATTAATAGTTAATATAAATACACGTAGTCTTTAAAAATTAAAACCATAAATTTTAATTGTTGGCAATCTTATAAATAATATCAAAAGTATCTTATTTTGCTTAGTCTTATTATTTAATAAAAGTTATTTTTAACATATTCAAAAGTGATATTACATTCTGTTGCTCTTAGAATCTTTTTTAAAGCGTCTACATAATCTACTTATTACAATACAAATAAGGAGGTAAGACAAGAGATATTTGAATGTTGCCAGTACAATTTTTGTATTAATAAAATCTTACTTGGTATTAAAAACTCAACGCATTTTTGTAGAAATGATTGTGATATTTGATTAAAAATTCCTTGACTTGTAGACCAATAGCTTAAAAAAGACATCTTCAAGTAAATTTTGGATTCTGTCTTGTGCATTTAAAAAAATAAAATCTATAAAATACAACTTTACAAAGTTTCAATTGAAAACAAATAAAATGTAACTATATTTTTTTAACAAACTTGCAAGCTTATATTAGCCTTATGGTTATTATATATACAAAATAGTGTTATAAAAAATATACAATGTTGCATTTAAGATATTTAAAGTATTTTAAAAAATAAAAATAAAAATATCATGTCAAAATATAAAACTTAAGAAAGAAATTTTAACCCAATTTTTTTTTATTTAAAATTAAATTAAAAAAGAAGTTTTGAGGTGGTGAGGGAATATGATGTGTATATAATGTGGAAAATTCTAAAATAATTTGTATATGTGTAGATAGTTCATATCTACAAACTAATTGTTTACAGAATTCATAGTGAAAATAAGTAAATCGAGACCTTTTAAAAACTTTTTCAGTAAATATTTTTGAAATTAAAAAAAAAATGTAAAAGCTTTAAAAAATATCTTATTTTCTTTTAATACTTTACAAAGCTTCAATCATTTATAAATGAGTCACATCCAAAAAAAATCTAAATTTACACTTTACTAGGATGAAGTTCTATTTAACCCATTCATGGCCTGGATTTCAAAAATACATTTCCATGTGCAATCAGTGCAACAGTTTCATCTCTAAAATTTCAATTACACAATCAATCTCATGTGCATGATGCACTCACACAATCATATAAAGGAATTCCTCATATTTTTTTATTTGACGAAACTCAATAAAGTGATTTTCATGGAATGGGTTATGCAAACAAGGACACCCACCTCAAGGAAACATCTACAATTAGGTGAAGATGCACTTTCCCCAAAAGAATACCCAATTGTAAAATCTGAAGCTAGCGTAGATGTGGAGGAGGAAATGCCAATGGGCCCACAGGCTCGAGAGGTGAAACGGGGGTTGTGTGGACAACTCCAACGGGGAAGGGGTCAGAACGAACGGCTGAACGAACGAGTGAGAGGACGAACGAACCAACGAACGAACCAACGAACGAACGAACCAACCAACGAACGAACGAACCAACCAACGAACGAACGAACCAACGAACGAACGAACCAACCAACGAACGAACGAACCAACCAACGAACGAACGAACCAACCAACGAACGAACGAACCAACCAACCAACGAACGAACCAACCAACCAACGAACGAACCAACCAACGAACGAACCAACCAACGAACGAACGAACCAACCAACGAACGAACGAACCAACCAACGAACGAACCAACGAGCGAACCAACGAACGAACGAACGAACCAACCAATCAACCAACGAACCGACGAACGAACTAACCAACGAACCAACGAACCAAAGACGCTCTCATGCTCACTGCACTGGCTTGGTCCACACATCATTCTCTCTCCTCACGCGGCATTTTCCTGTCCCCCCCTCGCCTCTCTGTGGCTATGGCCTCGCTGCTGCTGCTGCCTCTCTGATGTTGTCTCTTTACCGATTTTCCTCCCCATTCTACTCATCCTATTTCCCTCCCCTTCCTCTTCCGCTCACTTGTGTTGTTCATGGGTTTGGTCTGTGACCATCGATGTGTTTTTAGATAGGAGACACGCGCAACTCAGTGAAGTGTGGACGAGGAGGAAGAGCTACAGAGCGGCAGGTGAGGGCGAGCAGTAGTGGTGAGGAAGGGTTGGGGAGTGGCTGGCGGATCTTGTGGATTGTGGGAGATGGAGGACTTCGCCAATATATTGCAGCGGAACTATGGGCTGAAACCTGGCGGCAAGAGCGCGCCTATGGCGGGGGGCCATGGCCGAGCTGGATCGACCGGAGGGAGCATGGGTAGGTCTGGATCTGCACCTAGGATGGCTAACAACGACGACGTTTTCAACTCGGTCTTCAACTCTTCGCCCGCTAACGGGACCGGCGTTAGGTGTGTGCCTTTGCGGTTTTGAATGGCATGAGGGTGGGGACTTCGGCATTTTCTTACAACCGGGTTATACAATGTTGGGGATGGCCCCCTGGATTCTGGTTGTTGTGGCTGTGAGCGGTGTGCAGTTTTAGAGAGATATGATATGTGTAGTTTCTGTTGTGGGGTTCTATGCTGACGACACGAGGTAGAGGTAAGATGGGAGGATGTGGCGTGGCGTGATCAACAGAGATTACAGTAGATCGATGCTTGTGAGTATTTTGAGTCAGACTGGCCTTCGATATGAGATCTGCTTCTAAAGGTATTTGAGATGCTGCTTTGTTTGCCCCGATCGGAGTCGTTTGGCGGATGGATGTGGACATTGTGTAGGGTTTGCGAACTCCATTTGTCTGCATTTTTCTTGAGAAGGAACCTAAATTTTGTCTTCTTAGTGAGTGCGTTGTTTTTATGATGAATGTTACTCAATGCAATTGCATGCTGAGTTGGGTTGTCGTGGGGTTCATGTGCATACTGGAACATGTTCTTTTTACTTGTACTGCACATGAAACCTCTGAAGTCACGCTCTGCTTTTCACGCCATACCGAGAAATGATATGTGCTTTTCGAGAACATCGGTAATTTATTTTAGACTGAGCTCTTGGCTGATTTATGGCTATACATTCGAAGAGAGTTATTGGTTTTTTGTATCCTCTGGCGATCTATCACTTTCCACCATTTCTTTCTGCTCCACAGTTTCAGAGCGCAAGTTGAATCATGTAGCCGGCTGTTGTCAAAGGCGTGCCTAAAAACTTTAGAACTGGCTTTTAATGCCCATAATACACTCTTTTAACGCTTAGGTGCAGGCATTAATGACGTGGCTAAATGCCGACGTGTGCCTAGTCCAGCTGCCCTTTACGATCTGAATTTTTCTTTTGTAATGAGATGCTATGTCTGTTAGAATGCTGCACGGTGCATTTTATTCTATGCTTGCGAGGGAGGCAGGTAACAGCTTTGAGGTAACGGAATGCTCCGCTATAGTTTGAGATTATTTTTTACTTAGTTTCAGAATCAGCACGTGCAGTCATGATTTACTTTCAGGGCATAATGAACCGGAGCCTCCTTGGTATCTTTGATTTCTAGTTGGTTCATATGTCATCCGTGTAGGTCTTGAAGTCTTTCTCGCTTGCTTGCCTCTGAAACCAGCAGTCGTAAATGTAGGAAAAATAGTTGAGTCTATCGTTAATTGAAAATTTTGTGATTAGCTATTCTTGAAATGTAACTGTATGTTCCTTGTTCCCTGTAAAACTGTACTGTTTCACTTCGAATACAAATTCAGGATCACACTTCTCACTGTAGAATGGGGGTATTACATTGATCAGGCGCAGCAATTCAGGAGCTGGATACGATGACGTTTTTGGGGGACCTCCAATGGCAACGAACTCGTCCAATGATGCCTTTGGTGACCTCTTGGGAGGATTCAACGCTTCAGGATCAAGGCCACAACCAAGTCAAAACTCCTTTACTGATGATTTATTGGGAGGATTTAGTGCCTCCAAGCCACCACAATCAACTGCTCACACTCCGTCCAGTTCTTTGGATGATATATTTTCTGGAGGATATGGTCGTACTAGAACTTCATCGCAGACTAGTTCTGTGAGTCAGAAGGTAGACGACCCATTCAGTACGTTCAGCATGCCGAGGCCCGCGCCAAAGGTAACCCAATCTCAGACAATGTTTGATAATGATTGGGACTTCAGTGCCTCTAAACCTGCACCGAGAGGAGGAACGCTGCACGCTTCTTTCGATGGTGACCTTTTGGGAGGATTTTCGACGTCTACAGGTCGTCCTAAGCAACCAGTGTCAAACCAACCTCAACACTCTAGCCCGCCTCGATCCAGGCATTCTGAACCTCTGTTCGATGACTATGCACCAGGTTTTGGCGGTGGCGACCAAGGAAAAAAGAAACCTGTTGCAGACGCAGATGCAATGCGGGGCATTCCAATCATAAACACAGATGATGACGATGTGTTTAGTAACATCCCCAGCTCAACACCAGCTCCTCCATCAGATCCTTTCGGCAGCATCCCCCCTGCCAAGGCCACTGTTGATGCTGATGCATCTCGAGGAGTACCTCTTGTGACTCCCCTGGATGCTGACGAGATGCGTGGAATTCCGACTATGAATACCTCCCCGACACTTGATGATGATCCATTCTCTTCTGCCGTAGAGGAAGACCCTTTTGCTAAGATTATTAAAGACTCAGCTCCTCCTGCTTATGCGGATCCATCAGATCCTTTCTACATACCTCCTGCTTCTGGATCTTCCAGTAGTAATACAACAGACGTATCAAAGAATCAGGATGATAATGGAAGTGGACCGGTTGATCCTTTCGACGGATTTCCTCATCCCTCACCTGTGGCCACGTCACAGTCCAATGAGGATACAGCATCAAATCGCTCTCTTTTTCATGGCAGAGAAGGTTCTCAAGATTCAGGAACTTGGGATGAGAAGTCGTCAAGGAGGGACTTCGGCAGCGTTCCATTTAACGTGAATCCCAAGGAAACTCCCGAAGTTGCATCGCCCACTTACCCATCAGGTAGGTATGAAGCCACGGCGGAATCAGAGTCGAATGGCTTTGTGCCAAAGTTCGATAGCGAGCCAAAGTTTGACGAGCCTTCCTTAGGAGCTAATAAGAAGCATGATACTGACAAAGTGCCTGTAGACATTTTTGAAGAGAATTGGCTGACCGTTGACGATGTCAAGCTTACAACATCGCCTTCTAGAGCACGCCCCCCTTCACGAGCTCCTCCTAGGCCTGGTTCTGACAGGACAAGGATCCCAAGGAGTTCTGGAATCCACAAGGACAGTGTAGGTGAAAGAAGTAGGGGAAGATCTGACGAGTTTCCAGTGTATGGAAGTAGACCAAATGGTTCAGATGTTTCGAAGGAGGCTGAATTGGCTAGAGAACGAGCCGCGGCTAGAGAAAGAGAAGCGTCCTTGGTGCAGAAGGAACGTGAGGCTGCAGAGCGGGAAAGAGCTGGGATGCAGAAAGAGCGTGAACGACAGCGAGAAAGGGAGAGACAGATGGACCGCCTGAGGGAGCAGGAGGCTGGTGAGGCTGGAGAGAGGGCCAAGAAAGCAGCAGAAAAGGCTGCTCAGGAAGCACAATACAGGGTGGAGAAAGCTGCTGCAGAGAGGGCGATTGCCGAGGCACGTGAGCGGGCAGAGAGGGCATCAGCAGCTCGGCAAACTGATGAGAGTGCGGAAAGAGCCAAAAAAGCAGCAGAAAGAGCTGCCCAGGAAGCACAGCACAGGATGGAGAAAGCTGCTGCTGAGAGGGCGATTGCCGAAGCACGCGAGCGCGCAGAGAGGGCCGCACTGCAGAGAGCAGCTGCAGCGAGAGATGGTGCTCGAGAAAAGGAGCAGCGAGAGAAGGACCAAAAGGAAAGAGAGGAGCGAGCAAGGGCAAAAGAAGAACGACAAAGGGAGAAGGAAAGGCGGGAGAAGGAGGAGAGAGAGAAAGAAAGAGAGCGGGACAGAGAGCGTGACCGGAGGAGGGAAAGAGAAAGAGGTGCGGCTGAACCATCTCGGTCTGCTGGTGCAAGTAGTCGGGCAACTAGTGAGCCAAAACAGCGACCGCCTAACCATCAACCTGCTGCTTCTTTTGGTGGCGATGTTCGACGGCCCTCGCCTTCAAATCCTGTGTACTCCTCTACGGGAAGCTCCCCAGCTCCTACTCCACCCGTCAGGAAACCTCAACCTCAACCAAAGGTTGTCGATGATTGGACAACTTTACTGACACAGACTGCACCAACAGGTGATGAATTTCAAGAGATACCGGGAGAGAGTGCTGAGAGAACCAAAGCGAGGCTTGAGAGGCATCAAAAAGCGTTAGAGCGTGCGCAACAGGCGCTGAGGGAAAAGAATGAACGCGATCAGGCCCAGCTGAGGGAACAAGCCGAAAGGAGTATGGCCGCTGGAAATTTGGACGCTGAAATACGGCGCTGGGCAACTGGCAAAGAAGGCAATTTGCGAGCATTACTCTCGTCCTTGCATTTGATACTGTGGCCAGATACCAACTGGAAACCCGTGTCTTTGACGGACTTAATCACAGGTATTTCTGTGAAAAAGTCCTATCAGAGAGCGATTCTTTGTGTTCACCCTGACAAGGTGCAGCAGAAAGGGGCTACCGTGCAACAAAAATATATTGCAGAGAAGGTTTTTGATCTTTTAAAAGAGGCCTTCGCAAAATTCAATTCCACTGAATTATATTGAGCTAGTGCTACTGGTGGACATCTTACCTTAGCAAACCCGGACGCTGATTGTGGGCTGGATTTTCGGAAATTTTCCTGGTATATAGAGGAGTTCAGAGATGCCGGCAAGGACAGTTCTCATTGTCCTGTTGCCTCTACTGAACAATCAGCTTGAGGTCTTCCCACGCAGGAAGAAGAATGAAGACTGTAACTTTAGATCGCATTCGATATTCGATGGGGGGTCTGAGGATTTTGAATTGGATTCCTACTAAGACTTTCAATCCACCTAGTGGATGGTGATTCTTGACCATTTAAAATGTTGCCTCAGAAACTGGTAGACTGGAATCTTCTTACTCCCCTCTGTTCATAAATCTAGCTGGCAGTCGGGTTTTTTAACTCACCATTGATTCTAGAGGCTAGAAAGTTTCTATTCAAGCTGTGCCACTTATAGGTGGTATGGAAGTTCCATTCTCTTACAGGACGAAGGTTGGATAACATCTTTTTTTTCCTTTCTTTTTTTAAATTTATTTTAATATGCGCCACTTGTTTAAAAACTGAGATGCTGATACGTCTTAAATGCTCAGATGAGTAATGTAATTGCTGCGACATTCAGTAACGTCTACGTGGACAACTACTTTGCAAGTGGCATTTCCACCGAGTGGTCCAGGGCCGGCTTCCCAACACAATAGGAGGTGATGGATGCTTCACTTCTGTGCGAGTCATGGATTGTGGTGGGTTTTCTGTGCGAGTCATGGATTGTCTACATCCTAAAGATTGTCTACAACATCCTCCATACAGGGCTTATTCCACGATATGGGGGCATTGCATGTGCCTTCAATGAAACCACAAGGACAATTATAAATGGGAGGCCAGTACGCCTCTTTCCATCTGTGTTAATTAGACCAAAATGCCAGATATAACTACTGTATTGTTCATTTGCTTTTCTTTGTTTATTTTCTTTTTAAAATAATGATTGCCATTTTTGAGTCTAGTAAACAGAGTGTGTTGTTTTAAAAGAAATCGTAAATAATACTTTTTACGAATATATGTGTAATTATAATTTATTGCATAATAAAGTTTTAGAAAATATTTTAATTTTTAGAAATATTTAGAAAGATTAATGTCAATAATCTAGAAAGTAAGTAATATCTTAAAACTTATTCAAGGATTATAATATTTATAAAGGAATAAATAAATAAAATCACACCATCTAATCTAGTTACTTTTAAAAAATTGCTATAAAATTTATTTATCTAACTTCTTGAAAAATAATACTAAAAACACTTATGTCTCATAGACACTAATTTTTTTGATTTAATTTGATTTAATATTTTAACAATACATGTTAACATATTATTTTTTTATTACTGTTCAACAAAACACTTGAGTAGGGAAAGAAAGTTGAGTAATTTAGTAAATTGGTGAATGAATGTAAAATGTGAATTTGACAAGGGTTTGATGTAGTAACAAATTCTAAAAGCCTTTCCTAAGTCTATTGAAGATTTACTATTCTATCACAGAAATACTACTGTATTATAGTGATTATAGATATTTGGACATATATCTCTTACTAATTTTTTAACCAATGCAATAAAATTATTAATATTTTTTTTTCTTTGTTACATAGTTTTTAAATGTTCTTAATATTTTTAACTTACATAATGTTGTATGTAATAAGTTTTTTAAAATCATTAATGTTTACTATTTAAAAATATTATTGCTTTATGTAATTGAAGTTAATAGATGCATAGATGATAAAATAAGCCAAATATTATAGTTTACTTATGTTGTATTAAAATATGCATTTATCTATTTTATAAATATTTTTGTAATTGATGGTGTATAAGGTTAAAAAAAACGATTTTTATTTAATTTTAATTTTTAGTTCTTTTAAATATATCCAATTTAAAAATGAATTCTATTAAATTTTGTTATGTAATTAATTAAAATTAAAATAATAATAATAATAGAAATCAAGACAAAAATGATTATTGTTAACTTTTTGAATTCTTTGAAGATACATTACATAAGAAATCCTTATAAATTATTTTTAACTATATACTTCAACTATTATTTTATGAATAATTATAAAAATTCTTGAAATAAAAAATATAATAAATCTATATGGTATTTAAAAAATTTAAAACTTTCTTTCAAAATTTGTATTAACTTACCAAATATATATAATCTTTTGTAATTTACTTGCAATAAAAAATAAAAAATAGATATGAAATTAAGTTCTTATTTGATTGGCTAAAAATATAATTTTCATTATTTTAGGTTCAAGATGTTAGAAGGATAGTATTATTAGTCCTATGTACTTAAATACCTCTAATTTTAAATGGCTTAAAAAACAATAATTAGAATCAATAGTATGTAAACTATAGTATGTAATTAATAGTAGAATTAATATTAGAATTAATTTTTAATTTTTTCTTTTAGAAGATTCTATTTTATTTTTTATTTAATAAATTCCTTCAATAAGTCCTTTCAAATAAAAATATTTTTTTATTCTTTTGGACTAAGTGTGGGATGTGTCCAAATATACCACCAATAGAAAATATGTATACCACAATTACTATTAAATGCAATTAATTCGTTATATTTATTAGAAATGAGATTAAAAGTTATATCTTATTCATTATAATATGCTTATGTTTATTTTTTTACTTTTCATTTTTAAATAAATTATAAAAATCAGTTTTCAATTAATTTATGATTTATTGATTCAGTACCAATTGAACACTTATTTTCAATAAAATTTATATATATATTTACAATTACTTAGTAGATTGGAAATTGTAGAAGGTCACAAATTCTACTACTTAAGAGAATGATGGTAATTACATAATTCGATAGATAATTGGTGTTGAAAAAGTAGGTCGTATAGTTTGATTGTTTAATTAAAAATTTATTAACTTTCTGCAAACATAAGTCAATTGTTTTTAAAAACTAGAGTTTTGATCTAAGGCTGCACTTATAAGATGTAACTTTATCACAAAAATAAATCTCGATGTTTTTCTAAGCTATTAGAGCTTCTAGACGAAAATTTAAAAAATATTTCAAAAATAGTTCTATGCTTTTATGAAATTACACTCAATTATCTTTTCTTAGAATATAATTAATTATTTTATTTGTTTTTAAATATTAACTACTTTGGATTGAAGTAAAGATTTTATATTGATTAATTTATTAAATATTTCTAATATTTTAGTTGTCTTTATTTTTAGATATACTTGTTAGTAATTTGAATAAATAACTAATTTTTTTAGTTTGTAAGTTTAATAGTTCATAAGTTTTAGAAATGCAAGATTTATTTTTATTTTTATTTTTATTTTATTTTGTTAAACTTCTACTAAATATTTAAGTTTAGCTTTGAATAGGTATTGTGTAAATTGTTTACAATAATTATTTACAAATATAAATACTAAGACATTTCATTGATATGAATACATGATTTGATTGTATGAATGGTATTTGGAATTTTACTTTAGTAAATTATATGAAGATAATTTTAATAATGGTTTAAAATAAATATATAAATATATATATATATATATATATATATATATATATATTTAATAAATTTAATAGATTAAATAAGAATGATCATAAATTAGACCAAGTCTACTCTATAAGTTTAGCTTTGGCACAAAGTAGACACAATAAGTTTATTTAAATTATTTAGAATTCGTTCTATTTTTTAATTAAGTTATTATTTTTTACTTTATTTTAAAAATAAAATAATATATATGAAGAAAATAAAAAAAATTTCATAATCAAAATACAGTAATGAAAGAATAAATTACAAAGGCATTTTGATTTAGGTACTTTTATATCATGGATTGTTTTTTGAAAAAGTGGCTCTATAAGAATAATATAATATAAAATACAAAAGAATTAATTTTTATTTTTTATTTAATTAATAAAAAAATAAAAAATAAAATTTAATAATTTAAAATTAAAGTATTAAAAATAAAAATTATCCTTAGTAGGTAGTTTTGTGTCTATTTACTAGTGTTTGTTAATTGTCACCATCACAATCAAAATTATATTAGTATATGAGATACAATTTAATAACATATATATAAAAAATATTAATATTGTAAAAATGTTAAATCTTCTATTACCAAATCTGTTATCAACTCACGTATAATTATCAAAGATGTGAATCTATAAAAACCCTTAAAAAAACAAATTCTCTTGTGCCAATATAAAAAAAATTAAAAGACTAAAAAATCAAAGAAGAGGTTTAGCTATAAAATAGAAAAAAATTTAAAATAAAATATTGCTAAAATAAAAGTAACTACAGATCTTTTTATTCAAGGATTAATTACAAAAAAGATATTAATAAGTATAAAGATAGAATTGATTTTGCCTTTGTATATAATAAAGTTGAGATTTCAAGACTATATTAGCCATTCTAGAATTGCAAGCTAAGTTCCTTAAAGCAATCTATTGGCTTTCAAAAAGTGTGCTTTGAATTATTATCTTGTTCAAAAATTGTATCATTAATACCTAAGTTATAATAACCTAAGATCTCTATTAGTTTGTTATGCATTATCTTCTTGTATAAGGTTGCATCCATATTTCTTTTAATCTTGGTAAAATACAATATGTCTTATGCAGTCATGCAATTCCAAACCAAAAACAAAACACTACAATGTTTGACACTTAGATAGTAAATACAATTAGATAATGCTTTTCTTTTTCTTTCCAACACTTAAATTGGCCAAAGTTAATTGGACAAATTATATTAGTCTTATCATACTACACAACTTTCTATTAGCTTTTAATAGTCTAATACTTGTATTGGTTGGGAAAGTCTAAATGTGCTTGATGGTAATATTGTAATAGCAATGGCTTCTTGGTTTTTGGCTCTATTTATAATTTATTTGTTTTGAGCAAATTTTGCATTGTATTGGATCATGCAACTATATTGGCATGACAACCAAGGCTTGCAAAAGCTTCAATTGCCATATGTACTTTGCATGTTAGAACATTGTGTAGGCCTTTCTAGTAATTAGCATCAAACAAAATTTGGGGTCAATTCACCTTGGTAGCAAAATACCTAATTGTATGCCTTTTGCAAATCTGATCAACCATTGCAAAGCTAATATTGAGTTGAAGTAATACTTTGCACATTGTAAGCTCATGTTCCAATGGTTGAAATGCCACTTTTTCATCATTACAATGTGATAGCCCACATAGTGATAACGGGAAAATCTAGATTAGTATTGTACAATTGTGAGACTAATAAACATATGTATATGTATAGGCAAAAGAGTTTAACATTGCCCTACATAATTTAAAAAACAAAAGAAGTGCAACAATGAGTAAAGCACACCAATTGTCATGGTATTCCTAAGATATTTGAGATTTGATGTGAATTAAATTAAAGATAATGCTTTATTATAAATTAGACTTTTTGGTAATTTGACTAGTAACTTATATTTAGATTTTATTATTAATTTTATTTTTTATTTTTTTTATTATAATTATTATGCTATTATATAAAATTTAAAAAATAAATATTTAAAATTAATTATAAAATTCTAATTACATATTTATAACCTTATTATTTATTTATTTATTATTATTTTTAGACAAATCAATTTTATTTTTGTTTTTAAATTTTCCTAAAAAACTTTCTTACAAAAACCAATTTAATTAATTTTTAAATTCTTTTTAAATATATTGGTTGAAGCAATTATAATTTAAAATAACTTTTGTAAAGATAATAAGATGGATGATAATCTTAGATATTCTGTATATATATATATACACACATATATAGTGTATGTATATCTAAGATGATAATGTATATATATATATATATATATATATATATTGAAAGTAATGCGTGCCATTGCATACACTCTTAATATCCATTTCATTGCACTTCCAAAACAATGGACAGGACAATTATATTTTTCACAAAGTAATGACATGTAGACACCACGTCATTTAATCTCTTATCTTCAAATATTTGAATTGTAAGAGAACAAATAAAGAAAGAAAAAAAAAAACCCATACAGTAGATTATGTTAAAAAATGATTGAAATATAAAAATTATATGAAAACAAAAGACTCTTACAAACAGTCCCACATACATTACAGTTCTTTCAATGGAACAGTGATTTCTTGTCTTGTGCTCATCAAAATGTAAAGCTGCACATAGAATTCAACCTTCTGCATACACGCTGACTTCTGGGTTCATTGGGTACTGGCAGGTGGTCCATGATGACTTTGAATCTTAATCAGATAAACTCACATTTCGACTCATAGATAAACAAATATACAAATGAAAAAGATAGATAAACACCACCCACATACCTTATCCCCAGTTCCAGTTCACAGACTCTGATAAGCTCTCAACCGAGTCTAGTATCTATATAGAAACACGTGAATGATGCAGTTATAAATGGGCTTATTCACGGGTAAGTAGGTGGGTAGATAGATCGATAGATAGGTAGAACTTAAGTGAAGCTTTGCTGCGAGGAAATGGGATGGAGAGCTGCCAGATTACTAACTCATTTCTGCATGCGAGAACAGTACCGAATCTAGACAAAGCCCACACCGATAGCTAAACGCTGACACTGCATCTGTTCTGTATTTTTCTGAAGCAGGTCCAGAATGACCGCCGTTGAGCAAGTAAGCTTATGAAAATGGCAATTATTTGTCCTGGCTCAAAAGGATGCCTTCAGTACTCGACGCTAAGCTGGAAGCGGCATGTGTAGCTGCAGCATTAAATGGAGTATTCCGCGAGCTTGTGATTGTGGTGATCGAAGAAGCCGCCCGACTTCGATAACTATGCTGAAAGTTGACCCCTACAGTATATAGGATATTGATTTTTTTGACATGGAAGGACAGTGCTGGACAGCGTGTAATGTACATATCGTGGAAGACAAAAAAGCAGAAGGTTGCGGTTTAAACAATTTTCATTTTATGTGTGTGCTGGATCCTTCTTGCGGCATCTTTGATACCGTCATGCTATGGACTTTTCGCCTTCTTGGTTCTCCGCATGATAATAATCTAACAAAGTTAACCGTATACTGCAATTGCGGATGGGTCAATTACATGCAGTGACTTCCAACTGGAATCTTCTATCCGAACTTGATGCAACGTTGCCCAAGGAAGGGCTACACCTGAAGATCGTAGCTTAGGCGGCGGGACCGGACAAGAAGCTATTACGAGACGACTGTGCACGAATTTGTTCTGCCCACTGCTTTGTGTGCCCGCTGGTTCAATGTAGTGAAGATTCCCAGCTCCGATTTCTGTGGCAGGCTGATTTCCCTCAAGCTTTTCTCAACACTAGTGTACAAACAACAGCGACAGTTCTCCAGATTGAGTTGCTATCATCTGTCACTCGCATTCGTAGGTTACAGGTGGAAGTGAGAAGTCTCTTGTTTTCGTTTCCCATTCCAAGCCCATATTTCGATGGTTCAGCCAATTTTTCAACCAGTTCCAGAAATCTCATATTGTGCCAAATGCAAACTCTAAGAATAGCATGAACCAGTACGATGGACAGGGGACACTGCCGAGCTTGTATTTATTGAAAGTGGTCTTGGTCTCGTGAAGCATCTTCTGCCTTCGTTATCCAATTTTCCTTCGCACTAGTCACATGTGCGGTCATACATTCCATTGAAAGTTTCATTCTCCGCACAATACACGATTTACGAAGCAGTCAAGGTGAGATGCCGTCATTGCAAAGAATAATTTGATAGTTGCACAGTTGGCTGCAACCGATTGCGATGGACCTAAGATAGCAGACATTGTCACAGTTGCTAAAACGTACAATATGCGTAGTCAAAAAGGTTGTGTTGGACTATAATGTCAGTGCAGGGCGCTCGGGAACCACGTCAATGATTGCGGAGATAGCAATTGAACGTGTAAAGCAGTATTCTACTACACAGTGCGGGAATCTGCTGAAGCAAGTTTGAGAGTAAATCTACAACGAGACGTCAGTGCTTTGCCACCCCTTAATACAACCCAACAATCCAAGTTCCATTTAAGTGGTGAGCATCAGAGAAGAGTCATTTACTCATAAAATTTATCAGAACCTTTAGAGTATGAATTGATTGCTACAGCTTGTGCATAGTCTGCAAGACCTTTGACCACAGTGAAGAAGGGCGACCCTGTGGCAGAAATGATTCAAGAATGTATAGATTGCATGCACCCATATGAGTCATACTTGATCTAATCCTAGTTACAATTCGTCACAAACAATCTCGAATGAGATTGCACCCGAACTTGAAGCCCAATCGATCTAGGCGATCATTGCACCGTACGACTGCTGAAGTCATGCGAGCTTTCAGCCGTTTTGCAATATTCTTTTTGACTGGTAGCGAAGTTTGTCTAGCTGGGAGAGCGCATAACGTGTTGTGGATGTCGGAGCTATGTGCCCTACCCCGTCCGGAAAATGCTCCATCGAATACAACTCGGCACGTCAACGCTCGCTTTCCAGATGAAATTTGTGCTGTGCCTGCTAAAGTTGACTGCGTAAATAAGATACCGAAAAAGGATTTAAAAAACACAAAAATGGTTAAACATGTAACACAATGGTCAAAACTTGGTTCATCCGCTACTAACTCGGGTGTTAGAGTGGACTCTAAGGAGATTAGTTGAGGGAACGAGAATGAATGCGCCAACAGGCTAGAGCGCCGCCATAGATGACGGGGTTGAGGAAATTGAGAACGTCTGGTTCTCGGCACCTCTTCACTTCAGACTCGAAACGGCCAAATGTAAGGTGGCTGCAAGATTGGCATCTTCGAATATGCGAGAAAGGTTAAGGAAGACGCCGGAACCAGCAGCAGTGCTGTCGCTGTGTTGTGCAGAAAGAATCACATCTTGAATCCAGCCCGTTGCTCACACACTTCTTGTAGTGCTGCATCTTCAAAATGTCAAAGCCTTAGCAGTACTACTGTCCTACCACACCATGGTTGTCGGACAACTGAACTGCTTGAACGGAATCACAGCACTATGAAGGGGCAGGATATCCGTTCAAGTTGGATGTGATCAGTTTCAAACCATTCGTCAAGCATGGTGGCGAAGGCAATAGGCGGCGAAGACTCACAGATCTGAAGATGCAGTACTCCAAGATGTAAGTGAACTACGAAGCACAAGTAACTCTCAACGCTTCCAATGTGTAAGTCGGCACCTGCAAGAGACGTGAAGCACCCTTACGGAATTCGAAATGAGCTCAGGAACTTGAAGCTAACGTGAATGCAACGACTTCAATCCTCACATATCATCAGCTAATCTAGTGTTCTCGATCAATTCTGCGAGCGCGTAGAGCACAATGGCATGATCAAACAGCTCTCACAAGTAGCTCCGAAATCTTTTTGTGGTGTTCCGTGAAAGGGTGACGGTACCCACTGAAGTCGTAGCAAACGAACTCAGGCGGGCTCTTTGAAGGTACTGACATGACAGTCAAGACTGGAAAAGAAAAGTGCGTTAGATGAAAACGACGAGCTCTAAGCTGCAATCACGAGGGGTTCCACGTCGAGTAACGCACTGTGTGACGTGTGTTGAGAGCCAAGTCCCGAGAGGTTAGCCCCTAGTTTATATAGCAAGAGAAGATAATAAAATTCAGAGCCTGGAAAGAGGTTGTCGCACATTTTTTTATGTTCGATTTAGCAGGCGAAGTAAACAGCTCTCCCACAAATTTTCAAGGTGCGGACCTTTGGTCATTGCCAAGCTCTCAAGGTAGGGTGTGAGATTCTTGTACGGTGCAGGGCCGCGCTCAACCGCATAACGGATCTCGTTTCATAACGTTATAAAGAAAAAAGGGGAGAGTTTCATGCTCAGATTCGTGAGCATAACAGCTGCAACCGAGCATCAGATCTGGAAAAGAGTACAGAACATGAAAGCAAGAGAATAGATTTCACTACCGTGGAGGAGAGTGTGCGGATCAAACGAAAGTATTCGTCGCTATGTTGATATGTGCAAATCGGTAAGTTCACTAGCAGAACGGCACACTGAAATTGCAATACACAACCCACGTGAAGAATCCGAACTAAAACTACTGATTACAAAATGTGGAATCGATTTGAACAGATCTGTGACTGACCAGAGAAGCGCGCACAAACAAAAGGGGACTCTGACTAACTTGAAGAGAATGAGTGAAGGCAAGGAGAACAAAGATATGCGAACTTGAAACGGAGAGATACGAGCTGTGGATACAAGAGCTGCATGCACCACGCGTTGGCTACTTATCGCATGGCGAGTGGATCGAGTGAGCTGTGCGGTAGCACACCAACAGTAGATCACTGGTGACCCAGTAATCCACCCTATTCTCCGTTCCGATGTTTACGATTCAAATATGCGGAAATAAAAGTGTTACCGCCGCATGCGACGGGACCTGCGCCTACATCCACAAACGTGCTGCGAGTGGTGTCCCAGATCCTACAGAAATGGACTCCAAGCTCGAGATGTGCAGATCTTCAACATGCACTGAAGAAAATAATCGAGGGTCTGCTCCAGCCTGGACATGACCTAATTGTGTGCACGTTTGATGACAGGGATCGGGATTCACAGCCTACAAGCGCTCCCGTTTGGCCTCACAATAGAGGAAACAGGTCGTGGGCATTTCGGGGAGGATTACCCACTGTTTCAAGGCCTCCTGGGCCCGCATCTTTTTATGCTGGATATCCCCCCATTGCCGGGGTTCTCGTCGGAGTCATCCGCTGTCCTGCAACCTGGCGTTCGAATTCCACGAACGTCTGCAGTTGTCAGAGGCCTGTGTCAGTGACATGTCCGAAAATGCGCCACCAACATCGAAAACGGATACCGCCGTCTTATTAAAGTAATGCAGAGACAACTTCAGTCATCGCAGTGCCGTATGCGTCTTCTAATGATGTTTTTTGCAGCAGAAGGCGCTCGGCTGCCGCAGGTTCTGTTCTTGGCTTGAAGAGTGCAATATCATATTGCAACCGTAATGCCGAGAGCTTGGCGCCAGTTAGTTTCACGTCGTCACAGCTTAACAATTGTGTTGATGCAAAATTTTAAGATTTCCATGGGAAAGGATCACGTGTTCGTGAGATTTCTCATTCTAAAAGCAGAATGGATCTTCACTGCTCCCCCTTCTCCAGTTCTAGCGAGGGTGATTCGTTTGGGCCTATATTCCTCAGCAAATTCGGATTCATAACATACTCTTTGTCGCCGCAATGTAATGCTGCCACTGCATGAAAGGTGCCAACTTTGTTCTAAAATGGGAATTCGGAAATCATCTAGGTCTGGGTTGGTCCTTTGTTTCGAACATTTTTCGCTCTACAGACTTGGGTTGGTCAATGTCCACATTCATGTTCATGAAACGATAGAGTGACGGTTTTCCGTCTTTCGGCATTCCTACTCGCTACAAAACCATCATTGAAGCATCAAAGTCATCGTGAGGGCGGGTGCAGTGTTCACGAACAGAAACTAAAAGTCCAAAAGTCGATCCACCACTTCGATACTCTATGGTCCCTTACAAACTCGGCACGCCAATCACATCAACCTAAATTAAGTGGTACGCAAGATGCCGAGTCACATTACCGATCTTGCTTTTGTCACTCATGTCCCAATCACCACCCCTCTGAAGCCCACAAACATCAACAGCGATACTATTCTTGTCTCCACGAACCTCACTTCACACAGGCAAAGGCTCCCAGTCGCCAATACCCACACTGCTAAATCTGTACAAGATGTATATTTATCCACTCTAGGATTCCGTCCGGATGGATCAAGCTCGACAGGAACAAATTGGAACAAAAACAAAATTCCTTGAGGGAATAAGGTGCGGGTCTGTGGGTCCACGGTTCGAGCTCCAGAATAATGAAGGCATGAAGATTGGCTGAAAATGGGTCGAGCCGAGGGGAATGTCACATGAATCCAAATGCCAGATCCATTTATAAATGCACGTATCCAGCCTTCAACTCTCGAAGGGACCACGTCAGGGTGTAAAGCCAGCACAACACAGCGGAGTGTGCAGCTCAACTGCAACGATGTGCGTTCGTGGCCGTTTTTCCTTGCTCATCTCTGCAATTCGGGGTTCCCCGAACAGGTAAATAATATTTCCTCTCTCTCACTTTCAGTCTCCTACATCGCAATTTCTACTTTCACCGCAGCATCGCCAACTGTACACCTTGTGAGTTAACAACTGGTTGCGGAAACTCACATCCACTGCAACAAACAGGATTAGGGATTCAGGATTTCGCGGACCCAGTTGAACTGAATGAAGTGATGAAAGCTTTTCCTCCGAGCATTCCACTACCTCTTCTTACATTTCTCTTTTGTATTCTTTTCTACCCTATCACCACCATTGTTTCACTTTTTGTGTTGCTTCTTCTGGACCTTGTTCTGGATGGTTTCGTAAATATTTAGTAACTTAATTGAAACCACTCTTCTTGTTAGGTTTATGTACTGGCTGGTGAGAAAAGTTCCCATTTTTGTAATGTACTTATGATGACCAAACCATGTTTTACATGAGAAACATAAAACAGATCATGTTCAAAGTTTCAAGCAAGAGGACTTCCAAAATATTTGCATGGATTTCTATGTTAATCTCCTCTTATGCACTACTACACAATAGAATTTTTTTCGGCATTTAACTCAATGATTAAAACAATCTCTTTCAAAGTCATTGAAAGAATGAATTCCAACCTAATTAAGAAGAAAATGCCTAAGGCTGTCAAAGACATGGTTAATAAGAAAACCCTATGTCTAAATGAGATAAATGTATAATTCTTTAAAACTTTACAAAATATCATTGGAGCTAACTTCTTAGATATGATTAAAAAGGCACTAAGCTATAGGATTCTTCTATCTATAATTATTAAAAGAAAATTTGTCTTGTTACACAAAGGAAGTAAAAAAAATATTTCTTAGAGACATATTACTCTACTAAACACTTCATACAAAATTTATGCTAAAAATACTGAAAAATGACTACAAGTAATTATTAAAATAATTTTAGCCTAAATTAAATAATTTTTCTTCTACTTTAGTATATTTTAGATAACGTCCTTGTTGTTTATAAAATTAGAAATTAAGTCAAGTTATCTAAACAACCATTGCTAATGCCTGAGCTAACTTTTTTGTGAAGCTTATTACTATATATTATAGGATGTCTTACTTAATACTATACAAAAATTAGGATTCTAAAAAAACTTCATTGATAAGATAAACAATTTATTTGATAAAATAAAATAAAAATATGTATAAATAAAAATCTTATCAAAAGCTTCCATTTTCAAAGAGAAATAAAATAAGGTTTTTTATTTTTACTATATATATATATATATATATATATATATATATTCATCATTGATATAGAAGTATTTAACTAAGCCTATAATTTCTTTTTCCAATTTCTAAGAATAATAAAATTCTTTTCATCAAAGAGTGGGGATCAAAAAATCCAAGTTATTACAAAAATGGCTCAATTCTAATAATTTAGAGCAATTAAAAATCAATATCAAACCTACTTGGAATTTATTAAGGCTCATCTGAGTCTCTAAACTAAAAATTATTTGGTTTGTCTTTAGAATATTGGTATTTCAAAAAATGTCTCAAATTCAATCAAATATATTAATTTGGATGGACATGGACAATCAACTAAGAAGTTAGAAAATTATTTAGAATTCTTTTTGGCTTTTCAATTCAAAAGATAAATGCAGATCAATTTCTCATTAAGAAGTTACAAAAAAAATTGGACTGTAGTATTCAACAATGTTTAACATTGAAGATAGAATTATTGTTAGTAATGAAATGAGAGACAAAAGCTTTTTCAAGCAAAGATAGCTTATAGAATATACATAGTAAAATCATAATTGAAAGAAGCCTAAGGTTGATTGATTCAAAAGAAGCCATGACAATACTACTTTATAAATAGTTCATGAAAGCTATTTACCTAAAAAAACAAATATTTAATTTTAGTATCAAATATAGACTTATCAAAGAAACTCCTATAGTCTTTCCAAAATAGTGGCCTAATTTAGAATGAATATTAATTTAAACTACAAATGCAATTTTAAATTGAACAAAGATAGAAAATACATGGTCTAAAAAAATTCTTTTTTATGTTAATCTAAAAATTCTTAGATTTTTCTATAGGATGTGGAATAAATTTCTATAATAAGATCTAAAACTTTCAATAATAGAGCATGTTATTCAACTCTAAATAACACCTTTTTGTCCTTAAAACAACAACAACAACAACAACATATCAAAGCCATGTTTAAATATAAATAATAACTACTTTTTAATCTAAATGAAGCTTGAGAAGACTTTGATCTTGAACCTAAAGGTTATTAATTTTAGCACTACATCATATCATATCACTCCAAAATAAATTGTAATGACTTAAAATGAATATTTATTTTTTTACAAATTGGAACTAAATAGAATTGTTTCAAAAAAAAAAAAAAAAAAAAAAAAAAAAAAAATCTTATTCCTATTGTAGTATTTTTAATTTGAGGCACCTCTTAAAATATTATTGACTGCAAATAATTTTAGATATTTAAGACTTTTTGTATTGTCAAATTATCAATTTGGAATCTAATTAGAATTACTAGAATTTAACTATAACATATCTAAATAATTGGTCCAAAATAATGTAAATATAAGTGAAAGCAATAATAAGGCTATTATAAACTTTATAGAGTTTGTTGTAGTTGTCAAAGTTATTTAATAGGACTTAGGAGTAGACAGACTTAAACTATTTTGTGGATAAGTAGATACTTTTTTCTTTGATATCTTAGTCTACTATTAGAAACTTAGATTTAGTTTAGATTAATTTAACTAAATTTGGTAGAAGTCGAAATCATAACATCTTTAGAACCTTGTCCAATCTAAAATTGAATGAAAACTTCTAACTTAACTGAAAAGTCATGCACTTTAAGTTCCAAGCAAGAAAGAAAGTCATATTAATATGATTGGTGAGACTCAAAAGAGTTGTACTAAATACATGGAAGACACAACTTAACCATGCCACAAGTCCATATTACATCTTTTGTACCCCCAAAATAAATCAAATAATCTTCTACAATTTTGAGTAGTGCATTCAAGTATACAAAGTGTGGGACTAAGCTAATTTATTTTTTTTCCACTAAATAGGCTACAACCCACTCACATGGAGACTATAAAAGGCATATACATAAAAATTGGCTGTCTTTGCCATTAACCTCTCTTTTTACTTTAAAAGATATCGAGTTATTTAGACACTCTTTTTGTGGCATCTATGTATAGATTATCTGGATTTAAAAAGAAAATTGGTAAATGAGTCACAAATATGAAATAATAATAATAATAATATAAGACAATTTGCATGGGAACATTTAAAAAAATTTGAGGTTATTTTTAATATTTTTGAAGGAAGTAGTAGCTATTGTATTACAAATATAAATGTTGTTTTACTTATTAGTTGACTTCAGTTTTTTGGTGTGAATATTCAGAGTGTTGCCATAGTTATTTAAGTTTTTGATAGTGGGATATATAAAATGTACATTGGTGCCTTTGAAATTGAGTTGATTTTACAAACAGAACAAAATATATTGATGGTACAGTATATAGGTATTATTAGTATATGGTTGTGTATATAGTTATTTCTCGCTCTCTGATTATTTTTTCATATTCACATGTAAAAGAACAAAAAATAAAATAAAGAAAATAGAAGAGTAACAATTTGAACTACTTATGAAAGTAAAACAAATCAGTTCCTCAAGTTCAATTCTAAGAAAGAAATCTGGCTTTGACAGCAACATTTATACAAAATTGCATTTTTTTTACCATTTGAGTAATTATATTCCTAGTTCCAACGGTTGAATGTTAAGATTTGAAATTTTGAAATTTGCTAACAAATCATTGCGTATCATTGTGTTGCTTTTTCTAAGGTATGATTTAGCTTCACTTTTGGAATGTCAGGATTTGAAATTTGCTAACAGTCATACATGAAATGTGTCTCGAAAAATCTTTTTGAAGAGCAATATTCAAGATGCTCTGAAGTTTCAAAAAACCTGTACAATGAAGGTGCGAAATACATTACCAATGCAGGAGTTATGACTTTTTTTTAAACAATACATGTTGGAAAAGCTTTATTACAATAGCCCAACTGGTACTAGGCAAGTCATCTGCACCATCGGATACAGTGTGGTCATTGCAGTCCAGGCAAACTGAGACAGATGTTCTTTTTCCTTCACCTCTCATCCAAAATTGTGACCATACTCCAAGGCGTTGCCAATCTGCCATCCAGAGTGTGTAACAGATGGAAACTGTTAAATTTACTTAACTACAGTTAGAAACTCAAAAAATCACATTGTAAAGAACCCTTAATGCATTAAACTTTCACACTGCGTACATACTAACATGCCAAACTTACGATATAGGTATCAATCTATTGTTTCCTCTAAAATAACCTTTTCCTAAACCAGAAGTAAGGACCCAGGCCATACGGCTTTTGATGCAACCAGTGCTTAACTCAAAACAGAGGTGCCTAACTCAAGATCCCATGCACTGACATGTGTAAATGGAAGCATGGAACATGTATACACAACTCGTGTACAGGGGAGAGACTAAAAGAAGTGCTGCTTTCCCTTCCCTAATACATCATGAAGTGGTACCCGGGTTTAACCCGAAACCCATTTTCACATACGCTATAAACTGAAAGGATCCGCAAACCAAATAAGTCAGCACACGTTCCACTCTTTCGACTTGCATGCTCAATAGAGATTCCCATTGATTCGTGTCTTATTACATTGACAAGCCTCACGAAATAACCAGGCAAAATTTTCTAGTAAGCTATGACAAATGCGTGAAGTACATTAACACCCACAACGTCCCTTCAAAGCCCAAGGACTCATAACCTGCATCATCTAATTTATTACAACTGAAATAACCGTGAGTCACATTAAAATCGAACACTTTGCCAATTAATCAGAAGCAAACAATGTACAGTAGAACTGAAACTGAAAAACTCCTGGTCGGGCATAATGACACAATTCTATGTCCAACAGTAATTTGAGAGTATTATAAAGTTCCTGACTACTAACAGCTCTGTCTGATTCAATAGATTTGGGAACCTCGCAAATTATGACCACATCCGTGCTTCAGAAGATTCAGCCTACAAATTTTGTACTGCAATTTAGATAGGCTTGATCTTAAAATGTAGACCAATAAGCGAGAAGACGAAGCACTTCAAATCCTGAAAAATACCGTTACAATAAGAAGTGTTAGAATCTCTAACCACAACTATCAGCCTAGAATTCAATGCAAGAAACTTGTATAGTAGATCTTATGGAGCGAATATCTAGAAACGGATCCTCAAGATTTAACGTTGACACAATGTAGACTTCCTGCTAAAATATCTCCGTGCCAGTTAGCAAACGTTCCGAAACAACCTACCTGGACAAGATAGTAAAAGATTCGAAGTCCCTCAGGATCCTTGCTACTCTGTACATCAAGTAGAGAACCGATTTTTGACGTAGTGAATGATATATGCTCGTTCCCCATCACAATCTCCAGCTCTTGTCGTCCAATTCTATCAGGTTCTGGCCAGTTGTTGTCATCTTCTTTCAATATCTAAGGATTCGACAGTGTAGCCGACGGAGTTAGGTAAGTGCGTTATCACCAACCAAAACAGTTTCGGGAACCATGATATATTCTTCGTCATAGACCCGCGAGCCTTGGGTCAACAAAAATAAAAAGCAAGATCAAGGTTCACGTATCCAAATAATCAGAAAACAAGCAAGAGCGTAAATCCACGAATTTATATTTTCGACGGACTATTACACGCCTACAGCAACTCACTTTCTTTCACCCATGTCCGAGATTGGATGTACAGATGCTAACTATCAAATGATGTGAAGATATAGGAGCATAGCGTCGTCAATTACAAAGCACTCCATTGACATAAAACCCCCGACGCTTGAATAAAGAATAGGAAGTGGAAGGGCAGGTTTCCAGCACGCAGCACCATCAGACAGCTCCAAATACCCATAAGTCAATGACTTAACCCGATATTTATAACAACGGTTAGTGGCCCCAATCCTCCATCGAATCAGCAGAATAGAGAAGCACACGAGCACGAACCTCGCTGTCAGTGATAATGCGACGGCACTCCTTCAGCGCGGCCTGAGTGAGAAAAACCTCCTTCCGGATCATGGTGTCGTTCTTGTAGTTGGAATTGTTAGCGTAGCGGAGCTTGCCATCGGGACGAAACTCGAATTCCAAAAACTCGTGGCCAAACTTGCCCTTATGCCCGACATAGTAACGGACGTAGAATTCGCCCAACTCCTCGGCAGGAGTCGCCGCCATCGCTAACCTCTCCAATACAAACAAACTTCCAAAGCAGTGCAAAAACGCAAACCCTAATGGCTTCCGCAGCAAAGGCCAAACAAGGGCAGCCCGTGTACGCGTGTGGGATTGTAATGTACGGTATTGTATGAAATAGTATAGTATAGTGTTTTGGTATATGGTGGTGTATTGTACTGTACTGTATTGAATTGACGTTACGATGTAACAGGGTGTGAGTTTTGTAGATAATACTTTTTGAAAGTATTTAAAACATGGATCAATAAATTTATGCCAGTGAGTTACTGTGTCCTTTAATTTTTACTACGAAAAGCGTTTTACAGTATTATATATGTGTGTAGATTATATGAATGATTTCTGAAGCTTGATCTCAATTGCAATAAGACAAATTGCATTTTTAGATGTAATTTTTGTTTTGACACAAGCTATGACAGTGAATGTTATGTTGCAACTATGTTAATAAGTAATATTTTACTATTATTAGGTTTTAAGATGTATTCGTAGTTATATTACTTTTATACGTAAAAAATACTTTAAAATTAGTGAATTCTTTGTAGGTGGAAAAATTGTGGATATGAAAAACACACACTTCATTTTAACTCTGTTTACTTTTCTATAAAAAAAAATATAAAAATGAATAAAATTAAACAATATTGAAATTGACTGTGAAAGGATGTAATGTTGAGTTTACTGTTTGGGTTGTCTAAAAGAGTTAAAAAAAACAAAAAAACAAAAAAAACAAAACAAAAAACAAAAAAATAAAAACTTTGAGTGTACCCTTGTTTCCTTATAATGTATTCACACCTTCAAAATACTATCCTATCATTACATTTTTTAAACACAAAATCTATATTTAGAAAGTTACTTTGGCCATTTTTTTTTTTTTTTTTTTTTTTTTAAAATACTAGCTTGGTATAAATCATCAACAAACAAGAATAATTTGAAATCACAAAAATTATTATTATGTTTTTATTTTTTGTTTTGTTTTGTTTTGTTTTTTGTTTTTTTTTTTTTGTTTTTTTTTTGAATTTTCATGTTCATTTAAATATAAATACTTGTCTGTGTAAAGTTTATCTTCTTTCAAAATTACAAATAAGTTATGAAATACTTCTGAAAATATTTTAAATTACAAAAACATTCTTGTGGATTTATTATAGCTGATAGATATTTATAAAAATTAAGAGAATGAATAGCATCTTATAATTATTATTTAATCACCTTCAGCTTGATCATTTTTATTTAATCATTATTTTAGTATCAAAACAGAAACATGATATTGTTTTCACAAAAGACATCTACTCAATTTTTTGAATCTTTTTATTACTACTATTTTTCTTAGTTCTAGTTTCAAATATGTAATATATTAATACAACTTCACAAAAAGAAAATGTTTTACTTTGCCATAAAAACATTTATTGCTATTTTTATAATGGTTTTTTGATTAAAGAATTAACATTTGAATTTAGAACATATTTTTGTAGAATTCATGTTACTCAATTCACAAGGTTTTTATTTTTATTAGAAAATACAATATAATCGTATTCAAATCATGGAAGGATAGTCTGTAAGTATTATTGCTAATGTAGGAATTTTACTCAAAGATCACACTTGTGTTTGAGTTACTTCTAATTTCATCAAACACAATGCATCATTGTTTTTATAAGCATGTATATCTATAAAAAAAAATCTTAAAAATATACAAATTTGGTATCAAATTGCATACGTATATCTGTCAATTTATAAGTTCTTAAATGTAGCAAGTATTTAAAATTAAACTATATGTATATTGTAAATAACTAATATTTGATCCTTACATATTAGAATTATCTTATAATTAATTGAATTGTTTGTTGTAGAATGAAAAATTGAATGTAACTCAAAATTTTAAATTTTTTTTATCATAGTTTTTATAAAGTACTTATGCTTTATACCTTTATAAATAATACTAATGAATTATTGTTTGTTATTTTGATTACAAAATTGCAATGTAAATATACTTGTTAAAAACTATGCAATACAAAGATAATTTTTAGTATTTTAATTATTTTGGAACATCATATACATTTCAAAATTATATATGTTCTTATGATAATAGCCATTTAAATAAGAAAAAAAAATCAAATTAATCACTACTACTTTCAATGTTATGTTTCATGCAATGAGTTTATTTAAATTTACTCATGCTCCTTGGATTCTCATGATTAATTCAATTTATTCTCCGCCTCCTATCTCTTGTCTTAACTCCTCCATTCATGCTCCCTATTTCTAATTCTCTATTTTCTAGCCCTCATCTCCCATCTCAACCTTTCCATCATGATTCCATATCCCCAATTTCCTATTTCATGTTTCCAATTCCTTATTGTTAGTTCCCAATTTCATGTTCCATATTTCCAATTTTCCATTCAATGTTTCCAATTCCACATTCCATATTCTCAATTCCTTGTTTTTAATCCATGTCTCTTGTATCAACCTCTCTTCTAGCCTCTATTGTCATTGATTCTAGTACTTGTTCCATGTTCCTATTTGTTATCATTGTAGATGGCAACAATAACCTTGAACAAGATTTTTTTTTTAAATAAAATTATTTTCTAATTGAAACATTGTTGATGTTGCATTGTAATCTTCTAATTGCAATTAAAATATAATACATCTTATTTTAATTTAAACAATGCTAGATTACTTGATTGTATTTTGTGTGCTCATGGAATCTAAAATTTTCTAGTTAAAAATGTACAAGTTTTTTAATATAGAAATTATGTGCAAAATCTATGGCTAAAGGCTTTGGAGTTGAGGGTTGGTTTTCTAAGTAAGAAACATAAATTACTTTGAAAGTTATATATCATTTTTCTATAAAATGAGAATATGAATGGAGATGGGAGGGAGAGGAGGGGATTGGAATGGGGGACATGTGATGAGAATGGAGAATTGGAAATAGAAAACAAAGATGGGGGGTTGGAGATTGAGGACGGTGACTAAGAATGGCAACTTGGGACAATGACTTCGATGGAGACGAGAGATAGATTGATTAAATCATGAAATTCAAGGAGGTGTTGCTTTAATAACATGGACGTGTTGCTTTAGCAACTTCTATTTATTTATTACTTTTCACAACTTATTGATATGAAATTATGTTAGCTCAATTATGTTTATCAAATATATTACATGTGATTTTTTTTTTCTAGACTCAAATTTACTCTAATTCATGAAGTTTAAAATTAAAACTAGAAATAAAAAAATAACATAAGATTGATATATTATTTTTGGTCTTTACTTTTTTATTTTTCTAATAATATGCTATTGATGCATCTATTAAATTAGAAACATACTAAATTTTATTTGTAGTAATATAGTTTATTGATACAAAAATAAATACAACAGTAAAACTCCAAGTAACATTTTCAATTTTATATACATATATTCTATTGTATTACGTGTTCTAACATCTATGTGGTGGAGATGATGGCAATATTTACAAAATGCATTCTAATGAAACATTTGTAGATGCTTTTCTTCATTAAATATACTTAATTTCCCAAAAAGAAGTCTTAAATGATGTCCTCAAAATTGAATGTTAAAGAAAGATTTGACACCAAACCGATTCATATTTTTTCCATAATATCATGGTTATTAACATTTGTTTCCCAACTTTCTTTCATTAAAAACATTTCATGAAGTTTTATTTTCTCAAACAATATAAACTTATACCACCACAATAGAATCAACTCTTAACAATGCCCCCAGGTTTCAAGAACAGCACTAATTGATGGTCAAAATTCATTTGCAGCTCATATTTTATTTGGACAAAATTACATTCCACTAACATACTCTTTGTGATTTATTCAAATTTCTACACAAATACTTTTTCTCTTTCAAAGTCACAGATTCACAATCCATACATTCTGCCAAAGACCTCAAGAAGTTGCCCTCTTGCATAATCCAACATGATACAACAGTTAAAACCATCCATGCAGTTGTCAATACAACTACATAACCTTTGAATTGGAACCTCATTTGGGTTAATCCACTTGTTGCTAAATATACAAAGAAGATACGACGAGCATGGATGGGTGGATGGATGTCTCATCCAGGATTCCATGATCAACCTGTCATCCACTGGAAGCAATGAATTCCAGTTGCCTTGGCACATACAAAGCTCAAAGGCATTATCTCCATTTTGCTTTGCATGGGCACTAGAACTTGTCGCATGGTTCGCTAGCGATGGATGTTCACGGACAAGCTTACTCGAGACAGGCTGGTAAGATTATGTCAAGTGTCGGAGTGATCAGCAAGCGATGCCGCTCGTTCTCGAAAGACGGAAACGGCTTTCACCTCTTTGATAGATAGATGTCCAGATACCCTCCCCGCAAGGATGAAACTCCTCCACGGAGTTGAAGATTTAAGGCTTACAATTCCGATTCATGGTAATGTGGAGATGATGGAAGTATTTACAAAGCATCTGCTTACCGCAACCTCTGAAGCGATTGTATCGGCGAACCTAAACATGGGATCGAGTGCGGTGAGGAGGATCGAGTGCGGGGTAGAGAGACGGTGAGGAAACGCAGCAACAGAGACGAGGAGGAGGAGGAGGAGAAGGAGAGGAATCTGTCATCTTTGCTGTCTGGCTAACATGCAAAATTCGGCGACGGAGGCTGCCGGTGGAAGCATTTCTGCTCTGTCATTGTAGAGGCCGGTCTTAAGCATGGCCAGCATTCCTGGACCATTCATGGAGGGAGTACAATCCGCTGAATACGGCTCCCGCATAGGTTGTGGGTCCACGGGAGTAGCGGAGGAATCCATTGCCGACATGTAATGGTGACACCACTCACTGCTTTTCCTCTCAAACAAAACCTCCTTCAATCGAATTCGCATTCCTCTGTAAAAACGATCGAGATTTGCCTGCCATGACAAAAACGATAGGCATTTAGTTTCGGACAGGAATGCACAAAGGTTTGGAGGAGTTGCAGGGAAAGATCTGATAACAGATGCGTGGAACAATGGATGAGTGGACAGACCAGATTGGCGTCAGATGCAGCTTCCATGCGGTGCTCCCACTCCTGAAGAGCTTTCTCTTTCCGCAAAGCACCGCCGCTCCCCTGTCCCTGATCGGAGCTTTGATCGTAATCGCTGTTCCTATCCGAGTGGAAAAGGTTTCCGGGTTGTTGATAGAAATATTCCGCCTCCCCGTAAATGGCTGCGTGGAGGCTTTCAGCGTAACGTCGTACCTCGGCCAGCTCCTTCTGGATGGATTTAATTTCATCTAACACGGCCGAATTCTCTGATGGTTGACCTCCGGTCTTCCTCGTGTCGACCATGACTGCATGGGCAATTGGATAAAACTAGCATAAGAATATTGTGGGGACAAGAAAATCGGATGCACGATTGACATAGACAGGGTAGGAGAACTGACCTGTTACTTTGGGAGAAGACTTGATGGAATCTGCTCTGTCTCTGGACCCAGTCCAACTTGAAGCTCGGCTTGACCTTCGACAATCGAAGTCTATGGGGAACAATGTATCCGACTGAGAAGGTACTTTAGCTCCACCAGACCATGACGCTGAGGCCGCCGGCGGCCATATCACTGGACATGGGAACCAGCTGTCGGAGGTGTGTCCTGACCCCAGAACTCCACTCTGACCTCGCCCCCACGCCCAGATATCTCTACCGCCGTTAGAAATAGTGACAGTGTGTGCCGCCCCGCAGGTGATGCCTTTGGACCCCATGACAGGATGACAACTTGCGGAGCTATCGCCGAATACGCGCACAGGAGAGAATGCATCGCCAGTTTTTGTACCAGGGGGGCCAATTCCGGGGCAAAGACCTAATCCTCCCTCCATTCCCCACACCCAAACGTCGTCTGTTTCGGTTACCACGGATGTATGGAAGAGTCCACATGCAACCGTCCGGAGACGCTCGTTCGGAAGACCTTCGACAGGAGCAGGGAAATATTGATTAGACGACGTACCTTGACCTAATTGTCCGCTCTCTCCCTGTCCAAACGTCCAACAAACGGACAGTCGACCCTCTAAGCAAAAGCTCTCTTTAGACCTCGTGCTGGTACATTGTGTGAAATTGCGACTGGAAGACATGCGCGATGAGCCCCAAGCGGTCGACCTTAGAGAGGAGCTCGTCTCACTATCTTGCCTCATGCGCACATTAGGAGAGTTTCGGATAGATTCCAACTCCTCGGCCATCGGTTGATGGGTTCTAAAGAAACTATGTCTGGGGGTGGAGATATCTTGACTGACATCCCAACCCTGCTTGTTTCGCCTACACCTTGGGGAATTTGGTTCCAGTATGAGGTTGGCAGGATGATCCTCTTTCACGGCAAGAATCGCAGTGTGAAATGCGCCGCAAGCAAGATCCACAATAGAACCGATAACGGATGCGGAGAGAGCTTTCACCACCTGAGGGTACTCCCTGTCTCTGAAATCGCCGAGACCTAGCTGACCAAATTGGTTGTTTCCCCAGGCATAGCAGTCGAGGTCGCTATCGTCCCTTCCTTCCACAAGAGCGACAATGTGTTCATTCCCCACAGCGACTCGATAAACCCTGAGCCCCAAAAGTCCTCTTACTTTTTCAGGCCTCTCCACTCTTATGACAGAGAAGCTCCCGTTGCCGCTGCTGCGACTACCAGAACAATCCGAAGGGTTTGGAACGGCACCCCAAAGCCAGAGAGCGCCATCCAAGTCTATGGCACAAGATATCATGCCACCAGCTTCCACCGCAATGATCTGCACCAATTTCTACTGCAACCTTAGATTTCATTAACAGGTTACGTTGCAGCAATGCATCGCACAAATTGGAACATTCAGAGGTTACCTTCGGCCGTTTGCGCTCCTGGTCGGTAGTTCCTCTCTTGAGCCGCATAGCTGCGCCTCGGCGACCGTCTTCGGCGGTGGTTCTGCAAGTGAAGGTAACTGACGACGGATGCGATGCGTCCTTTTCACGACCAAGTTGACCATCCATGCTTAGTTAAGGAACATGCAATTCGAGCACATAAGATAACATTCAAACATGCGCAGTTCGTGAATGAAGAGCAACAAGAAAGAGGAAGCATAATGTAAAATCTTGAGTTGGATACAGGCATTGTAACCCCACGACCACACTACGCCATCTGCTGTCAATGCGAGGTTGTGGTTCGCCCCTGCAGCAACTTGCACGACTTTTGGTGGCCGATTAACTCTGTCTCTGTCACGTACATGAAGAGAATGGAAGTTGCCCTCTCTTCCAGACGAATGCGAGCTCCGGGAACCGTCTCCATCGTCGAGATTCGTCCCAACGGATACGTAAGTGGGAACAAAACCATCCTGGACACCACCAATGCCCGATCGCCCGAACAGGTTTCGCCCCCATGTGTATACACCACCCACAGCTTCACAAAAACACCAATCAATCGCCATCTCTTAACTGTAAGAACATTGCACGGTCAGGAAAAATGCGAATCTCAATCTCTCTGAGTCAACGCTGGAATCTCGGTAGGACTTACTTCCACCTAGAGAAGAAAGACTGATGAACATTCGCTCCTTAATGGGGGTGTACATTTAAAGACGGACAAACCTATCTCGTAGAAAACTCTGCTCGTAGTAGTAACAGGGCTGAATTTCTACCCAAGTCAACGAAGCCCGAGAGCTGAGGACTTTGGGTATTACACCTCAACAGTAAGCTCCGATGTTGGAAAACACGGAATAAGGCTCACTACTGCAGCTCTTGATAGTTAAGCGTCGCGCAGTCCACTTGCATTTTCCTCATCAAAATGCGCAGTGCCGCACTTGAGTCACGACCTTGAAGCTTTGCAAAGGTTAAGAGAGCTCGAGAACACCGGAAGTTTTACCTTATTTTTTTGGAGTCAGGTTCCCGTGAACACTTCCTAACATTGCATCTAGCTGAGCGCCACGCCCCCCAAATCACAAGATAGTCCCATTCATCACACTCGACCGAGAATTGTCCAAGCTGCACAAGTGCATGCGAGGAGAGTTGTTCCAAAACAAGTGCTGCGAAAGTTACCTGTGAGAGCAAGTGTGTGAACTTCTCCGGCGGCGACTTGCACTACGGTGTTCCGGGCATCCTCAGATGCTTCTCTTCTCGCCATACTTCTTCTGCCGAGCCTTCCCCGTTCGTCGCCTTCGACACCTTCCTAACTTCTCGCGGACAAATAAACTGTCCCCGTCGTTCGGTTATTGCTTTTGAGAGCAACCTGTCACGCTCATACTCCCAGGTGTGCAAGCGATGCATTACGTCCATGGGGAGCGAACCATCACACCAATCTCTCCTCCTCGAAGCTGTCCCATCGCCTCCCTCATCCTCACCATTCATGCGGCGTATTCCTCTCCCTCTCCGCTCCTGCTCTCTCGCTCTCCACTAGAATCACCTCCAACTCCACTGGTCATCTCACCTGCATGTTTAGCGATGTTTGTCATCTGGTGTCCCATTGCGTCCACGCTGATGATTCAGCCAGGCTCATCTAGTTTAGCAGATGTCACGTAGTTCAGCTCTCCAAGTGCCTGAACACTTGCTCTCTCTCTCTCTCTCTCTCTCTCTCACGAACACACCGCTACAACAACGACATTATGATACTCCAGCTTGAGATTGAGTACATCAATCCTCCCGCCATTAGCGGGTTCCTGCACTGGATGTTGTCCGTGGTGGCAGATATGGCCGTCATGTGTGGCGAAGAGAATAAATTGGAGCAACAAGTGGCAACTCTTAATTGCAACGAAGTTAAAACAGCGAAGAGAATGACATGGCTACTCCTAATTGCGAGAAGCTGCAACCAGGATGAAAGGGGAACAACACCAGATCTTAACTGGTTTTTGCCGAAACTTCTTCCCGTTTCTGTGGTAGGTGCCTTTTTATTGCAGATGGATGTGTTTAATGCGATGCAGCTAGTTTCTGTGGAGTGCTTCATAGACCATTGTTTGAATGGCGGTCACCTTTCCAGCAGTTCCATTCTACTGGAGAAGAAGCTCATCTCCCGGATGGACTGACTTCACTGGTGGTTGGAGGAACACAATTAAGAGACAAGATGGAGATCCAGGCAGCCTTGGATAAGACGCTTCAAGCCGATGATAGCAGTGCGGCAGTCCATGCCCCACACCATGCAAGAAAAAGTTGACTTTAATGAGTCGTTCAGTCAGTCGAGCACACACAGAGATGAAGAATGATCAAGTCAGGCCCACTGAAGCGTCCGGCCGAACTTTGCGACGCTTGAGTCCATATTAGGACCTGGAGGGCGTGGCCGCCATTGTGATTCTGATCCTTCACGGGCTGTTCACGTGCAGTCACGAGGCGTCATCCGCCCCAGCGTCCTGCAGCGCCAGTGAAAAGCTCGCAATGTGCAGTTGGGGGGTAGAGGCTACCCCACCATCTACACTGTCCCCTACCCCCTGCCCGCTTGCTTCCATTCTCGCAGCAACTTGGGCAACAAAAAAGCATCAAGCCGCCCACACACGCGCTGTGAGATCGACGCACGAAGGGTGCGATCTTTCCCCTCCGCCCCATTCGGCGTCAGTCAGAGCCCCGCCCTTGTCGGGGCTTCTCCTTCCGTGGCCCCGTCGTCTCCCGCGCTTTTTTCTGACCTGTCGCTTTTATGGTCGACGTGGCAACCCTCTCAAACTTTTCTTTTTTAAAGTGGCTGACACCTGGGTTCGCTCTGGAGTGCTCGAAAGTGGATCGAATCCCAGTGGAACCCTCGGTGTATTTGGACCGCTTACGTCCAATCTCGAAATTTTTGTTGATTGGGGCACACTTGCAATCAGATTTCAAGAGAGCATTCAAAAAGAGAAACCTTGACAAAATTTGCAAATTGATTCTCTGCCGTTCACTGATTATCCGTTTGTTTACAACCTATCCAACTTGCCACAACATTTGTTGTGTATATATATATATATATATATATATCTCTCTCTCTCTCTCTCTCTCTCTCTCTCTCTATATATATATATATATATAAATATATATATACACACTAACACACTTTCAAATTTTTATATTGCACCGTTGCATTTGTAATAAAACACGAATTGTTTACTTTTGTACATGATAACAAAATTAAAATTTTGAGATAATCTTTGTACAAGATATTATTGTAAATATTATTACTATGTATTTATAGTATAATAAATTATATATTAGGAAACATATATTGGTTACCAAAACTTCATATTTATATGTGTAATAAAATGAATTGTTTCAATATATATTTTTTATATGCAATATGAGAAATTTTGAAAAAACTAATTATTATGGTCTCAATATTAGTTATAGATTCTTATGAAAAATTGTTAACATTACATTCCTAATTGATATTGCTACACTTTAATTAATACCTGCAACAATTGGAGGGAGGGGAAAAGAGGGACAGCAAATCTTTGTACAGTGGTCTTCAGTTGAGCAACTACCTCCAAGATCAACATCTGTTTGTGCTCCCTTTTATATAGCTACTCCTTGTCTGCATCACCCACAATTTTGTCATGTACTATGGCCCAGCTTTTATTCATCATTGTTATTTTTATATATGTTGTGATCCTTTTGTCAAGAAGGTTTCCACCGTCTTGCTAAAATGCATCATTCACAATGTGTTGATAAGAAGCATACTAGTGAAGCTAATTGTTTGGAGTAAAGAAAAATTTGCTACCCTCCCCCCATACATGGTTGTTACAAGTATTAATTAATGATGTAGTGTTAATTTTTTTATTTTATTTCATGTTCTCAAAATGTATAAAATAAGTTAAAATTTTATTATTAAAAATAGAAATAAATAATTTGATTAGTTGTTAATAATCTCATGCAAAAAATGCTAAAAGATAAATAATAAGTAACATTTATATTAGATTACATCACAACAATAAAATGATTATTGGCAAAGTATTAGTAATCTTGCAAGTTTCAAATAAGAAAAATATAATAAAGAGAATGTTAAATAGATCCATGTTTTTACTAAATTGACCTATCCATGATAAAGAATATTAGTAATCATAATGAATGTAGTTAGTTTTTATTACTTTTGGATCAAACAATAGAGAAATGAATCTAGATGTCATATTTTTTTATTTTTTTATTTTTTTCATAATGATTAAGATGGATGGATCAATTTAATAAAAGAGTGGATTTATTTAATATTTTTCTATAAAAAATAATAAAATAAATAAAAATATTCTAGAAGTTTGTGTCATTAAAATATTTTTAATTTTAGGATTTTATTTTTCTTTCAATGCTATATTTTAAGATAGTAGATTCAAATAGTCAAATAACATTATTAAAAAGTTGAGTACATGATACTTTATTTAAGTAATATGTTGATTAATGATATATTAATTTTTTCTATTGTCAAAATTCTATTAATATTATTACCATGACAATATGCTTAACCTTCTAACTTTAAGATAGTAAAAAGATTTCTTATTTTATAGTCCACCTTTTCATAAACTTATTTGTAAATTATATTTTATAAAAGCCAAAATTTATATTTATTATAAAATATATCTATATATATAGTATAATATTTTATAAATAAGGTATCTATTATTGAATATTTAATAATGTTTAAGTTAAAATAAAATTTATTTTTTGAGCATAATATTTTTTTTAAATAGATATTTAAATTTTTCATAATAAGAAAATTTTACTATGAATATATATATATATATATATATATATAATTTAGTTGATAGCATACTCAAAATTTATTTTTTAATACTTTTTTATTCAACTTTAATTTGCAACTAAAATATGTTAAGATAAATCTATATATATATATATATATATATATATATTTTAGGATTTAAAATGATAAATTAAAAAAATAGAAATATAATTGAATCTTAATTAGATATAGTATTATTTAATATTTTTTATCAGTAATAAATGATATTGATAAATACATATTTTTATTTGATTATATTTGTTAATATATAATATTAGCGATAATCAATGTTTATTTCTATATTTTAAATATTTTTCATGTATTAATCAAATTTAATAAGAATTTTTTGTTTTTTAAATAACAAAATTAATATATCAATATATAAGACACTCTAAACTTCTATGTCTTATCCAAAATTTTAATATTTAAAAAATACATATATGTTTTTTATATAAATTTTAAAGAATTAATTTTTATTAAGTATTTGAAAGTTTTTATGTAGATAATATTTTCAAAATTAACATTAAAATTTATATTTACATAAGTATATATTGGTAATTTTAAATTTTAGACTATTAAGGGGATTTTTTTTTAAATCAAAAAATGTCTAACTTTTGATAGTGCATATTTTTACAAGACCAATTAATCATTTGGTTTTAAAAGAAAAAATATCATATTTTATCTTTTATCTTAAATTAAAACTTTATCTTTTTAAATACATCACTTAAATTTTTATAACAATTTGTATTATTATATTTCAATAGAGAATAAAATGTCTTGTTTTGATGATTTGGTTTACTACCACAAATTAAATATATATATCAAAATTGATGATCAAAAATATTTTGGTAAAAATTAATAATAAAAATAATAATTTTTATTTTTAAATTAGAAATTGTTTTAAAATATATAAAGATAATGCTAATTATATTTTAATCTACCACATATCTTATATTTTATTAAAAATCTATTAATTATGTTTTATAATTTAAGCCACTAAAAATTGTAAAAAAGTAATTTAAGTGATTTTTTATAATTAATATGTCTAATTAAAAGAAATTTATGTCATCTTTGTAACAATAAAAGAATAATTATTTTGTATAGAATCTTAAAATATTATTTTTTAAGGACATGATTTAGAAAATTAAAAGCCTCAACAAATTCTTGTGTCACTTAAAAATAATAGATATTCATTCAAAAATATTAGTGTATTAAAACTAGAATGGCTATTGCTAAAAAAAAAAGATTAGAGACTCTTGAAACAAGATTAAAAAGTCAAAAGGCATTGTTAAGAATATAGAAGACTTTACTCTTGATTCCATACATATTATTTAATTAGGAGCTATATAACAATATTCTATAGAATCTTTGATATGTGTCCTTGTGAGACTTTTATCTAACTTATAAGATAAGTTTCATATATATGTACCATATAATCAACTTGTATTATAAGTAATCAATATGTGTAATACTTGGCTAACTTGTTGGCTAAGTTTTCAACCTATCAATCAACTACAAACATATATAAAACCAAATTTGTGTCAAATCCACAAAATATTATAAAATATATATATATATATATATATATATATATATATATACACCTTCTATATAACACTTCTTATTTAAGTAATTATGTGTATTCATGATATTATCTCCATTTTTAGAAATAAGTTCTTTAAAGAACAATACACATATCTTGATTCTTTATTTTAGTTTTGATGTAAAGTATCAACATTTTTTATTGCATTTACAAGATTCTTTAGTGGATCCCATGTGCATTCACTTATATCACATCCTTGCCAACATACAAACTATTCTAACATATTTTGGAGCTGTGTTAAATCCAAACTTTCTTTGACATTAAATTCTTAACTATTATCTATTTTTATAAGAGAAAGTGGCATTTGTCTTCTTCTTCATATATCTATTGTCTAGTATGGCTTAAGAAAAGATATATGAAACATGAAATAAATCTTTATAGACTTTAATAGGAGTAATTAATAAGCAACTGGATTTATCCATTTATAAATTAAAAATAGATAAATACAACTTATTACAAAGGCGAATAATTTTGATATAACAATAAAGTAAGCATACATTCTTACTTGCATAGAATTAAGATTGTTCTTTGTAATATGCATTTGCTTTGATGTTTTGTTATTGTTGATCTTCTTTTTATTGTACCTTCATTGTTGCATGTAGTTCTAATAAATAATTTGTTAAATCTTCTTCTATAAGATTATCTATTTTTGAAAAGTCAAATATATCAAGTCATAAATAATAACCATAATTAAATAAAAAAAAGATATTTAATAAGTAGAGGTATTCAATATATCATTATAAACAAACTTTTCTAATGAGAATAG